TAGCTCGTCTACATGATTGTACTCCTATTCAGATTGCCCCTTATGTTTGCGGCCTAGCAACCTAGTCAACGTCCGAAATTTAAAATCTAGGAAGTCGCCATATCTTCAATTTTTCCCAAAATTGATGGCGTGTTCATTTTAAAAAGTAATGCGTAGTACAATGTATATATTTTGATTCCATCTTTTAGTAGTAACCAAGACCTCAGAAAATCAAGATATAAATCCAGTTGAAAAACAGTGATCTGAATTATTTCTGCTTTTAAAGCAAATTGCCTGGAGTTTTTAAGTTATGGATCGAGGATTTTTAAGAATTGTTTGAAATATTTAAAAAAGAGAGCTATACTCAGTATACCCACTTATTTCATATAAAATATGTCATTACGAAACCTAACAATATTAGAGAAAGACAAAAAATAAATCTCTTTGGCGGACTGAAACAAAATAATTATTATATATCAGAATTTAAATAAAAATAAAATAGGCCCTTGATTACACCCTCATTTACTTTAATATACCCCAAACGACTGACCTGATTATAGCCAAAATAAATGCCCATATTGTGTTTTTCTCATAGTAAAGTGTATACATGTAGTTAGTTACCTTTTGATAGTATATTTCAGTGAATTTACAAATTGGATTTTTGTTATGAGTTTTGCTCATAAAAGGACCCCTGTCTGTTCAAAGCCAGAATCAGATCTATGGGGGTGCAAAAATTGCAAGCAACATGTACAGTTGACCAACCAATATATAGCTTACAATCTCAAAAATAGTATCTCCCAAAGGTGAAAGATTCTTTTTTGTCATAAATTGGATGTTAAGTTAGTGCCAAAATGGGGAAAAGGTCAGCTCCCAAATAATAAAAATTGTAACCCTAAAAATAGAAAAAATATATAATGAATGTATTATTGTAAAAATCCATAGTTTACCTCATATACAGTAAACGATTTGGGTATTTCTAGAAAATAAATATGACAAAGAGTGATATGAGGCCAAAATATCCTAAAATTGAAACAATTCTCGCCAAGATCAACCTCTAAGTAGTACTTGCTTCATATCCGATTCTGCCTTTAACTCCGCTATATAAAATTCCATGGAACTTTGCTGAAGTAAAGGAATATATCAAAGACTGTCTATATATTCCTGTTTCAAAGTATTGAAAACTGAGGTTATGCACATGACATAAAACCTGGCTGGCGAATCCATCATTGTCCGAGAGATGAAATTATTTCTCATTATAAATAGCAGGAAACGACCAATTTTACAGAAAGCACTGCTGGTGTAGTGGTATCATGCAAGATTCCCATTCTTGCGACCCGGTTTCGATTCCCGGGCAGTGCACATCCTTTTGTTCAAGTCAACGATTCATTTTGTGCGGAATCCTGGAAGAGTGGAAACAATGTAGTGTCACCGTCGTGTTTCAGGTTCAGATAGTTATTGCTATTTTGAAAAACATACATGACATTCAATACAACATGACGTTCTCAAGAGCATAAATGTTGGTTTTAACTGGACAGAAATGGGTCAGTGCCCCCAAGGTAAGACAAATAGAAATGAAGTGAAGAAATACCTGATACCTGAATGACACTGGCCCAAGTCTGTTGAAAATCATTTCAAAAATGTAAAAATAGTAATACTCAGGGACAGGGACACGGGACACGAGAACGGCTAAATGCTGCTAAGTTTATGCATATACAAGGTGGGCCAAAAAAAACAATACCCAACTTCAAATCAGGATAAAAATACTTATGTTCAATATGATACATTGACTTATATATCATTTTAAAGGTAATACATTTTCAAACAATTTGGTATATAACACTATGACATAAAATCAATAGTAAAGGTGTATTATACTTATTTGGGAGGCTGAGTCGCTATTTAAGGTCTCTAGATTTTAGGGAGAAAACAGTAATCTGTGGAATTATGTAAACTTTTTATTCATAGAATATCATTTTGTTAGGTGAATACATGCATGTTTATTTGCATCAATGTGTGACTAAACTTATTGTTTATGAATTTCATTAATAACATTTTACAATTTATTTATTTAAACAATTGCTTAATATGCCCCCCCCCCCTATGCGTCAACAATAAGCCTCAAGCGGTAGCGCCATCTATCAACAGATTACTGTTGCAATACATTCCAGCAATTAGGATTCCGCGGTTCAGCTAATCACTACTTTTTATTGGATGCTTGTGACGGTTCACCATTTCCTGGACCCATTACCATACATGGAGATGGCTCCGTGTATGGTAATCCACCACATAAGCATCGGGCTGCTGGGTGGCCAAGCATCTGGATCAGTCAAATTGACATCTTGTTTGTGAAGGAATGCCAATGTCACCTTTGATCTATGGGACAAGGCACTGTCTTATTGAAAAATACCCCCCCCCCCCAACCACATATATGTTTTATGTCTTTTAACATACCTCTTTTGAGTACTTATTGATAGTAATCAATACTGAAATTAATAAACAATAAGTTAAGTCACAAATGATGCAAATATACAAGCTTGTATTCACCTAACAAAATGATATTCCATGAATAAAAAGTTTACATAATTTCAAAGATTTACTGTTTTCTCCCCAAAATCTAGAGACCTTAAATAGCGACCCAGCCTCCGAAATAAGTATAATACACCTTTACTATTGATTTTATGTCATAGTGTTATATACCAAATGGTTTGAAAATGTAGTACCTTTAAAATGATATATAAGTCAATGTACCACATTGAACGTAACTATTTTTATCCTGATTTAAAGTTGGGTATTGTTTTTTTTGGCCCACCCTGTATATATTACTAGTTAATAAGGAAAAAAGTGGCATAGGACAGATTTTCAATAGTAAAGACATTTTCAAATCTTTAAAATTATAAAGGTATGCCATTTATTTTATATTGTTTGAACAGAGACTTAAAGGGTTCCGATTAGCATCCCGTATAAAAACAATATGGCGGCTCCAGGCGAATCAACTGGATCAGTCCATTTTTAAGAAATAAGGGGAGTTCTGTAAAATCCAGTTTATTGAAATTGTCTTTGAGATAAAGTAATCCGTTTATAATGATTTTGAAAACGTTATCCAAAGAGTGATTGCGTTCAAAGAATACATGTACAACAGCCAATATAAATCATTGTATTAGAAACCGGTTTGTTTTACTTTGTTTCATTTGTAGGATATTTCATATGCCAAGCTGTGTGCTATTACGTTATGGGGAAATTTAGATGCCAATTTTTCCTTATTATAAAATAGAAGATCCTGAAACTTCATCAATTAATGTGGAATTGATTTGTCAAAATAAAAATCACCCTTTTATAAATGTGTGACGATCTATAATATACTTATGCTATATAACAGTTAGAGGTGTTGACACAACGACCTCGAGCCTGTGAACCCTTGAGTATTATTCCGGGATCGGGCCTTTTATACTAAACGGTGAGCAACACCAGAAACGAGCGTTCGATTTGCTAAACGATATGCGTCACCCTTTAAAAACTGAGAGTGAGGCTACTTGTCGAATACGATGAGATATAGAATTCCAGATTTGCTGACGTTGAACTTTCAGTGAATAGAGGCCACGGGAATTCGTCTAGAAGGAAAAAGAAGTCAATAGAGCAAGCCTTGACTCAATAAGCATAGAGAAGTAAAATGGAAATCATCCTCGTAAAGTTACCACATTTTGATCAAGGCCAAAAATGCAGGGAAATGTAAAAAAAATCATACTGCAGCACCTCTGGATAGGTTATAAACACATAAATGCAATAAGATGAAGAAACTTGTGTTCAGACCCCCTTATAGTGATATTTTATATAAAAAAAAGTGAAACTGAGAAGTTTTTTCGAAAAACATAATCTCCCTCTGTTTTGATAATTTTGATAACTTCCTCTTGTTATCTTGGATAATTATATCAGTTTCCTTACGAATTTTTATGTTTGAGAAATATCCATTTAACAAAACCATCATAACATCACAAATATTCATAGATTTCGCCATTGTAGTGACTCGGATGTATACTAACATACGCGGGAGTGCGGACTAATATTAGCCTCTTCTCGTACCACGTGATTGGGAAATCAAGAGAAAGTGATGCCCTGCACTTATTAATCGATAACCCCAAGTGCAGTGAACTAAATATCAACAAAACTTTGAACTCAAATATCTTTTCGCGAGATTTCATCATGAATTTTTATTTGGAAACCTAAAAGACTAAATATTTTAAAATAATATTTTAAAATAAAATTGAATTCATCGACGTTGAAAGGGGGACTTCATTCAACACGTTTTGATTATTCATTCTGCTTGCCGCAGTGTTAATACCAAGACTCTGGCATGCCTTACAACAATTTTCGTTCAGTGAAGTCGTGCCTGTTTCCAACATGTCGGGGGCTGGATATTGAACATTTTTTGAAGATTTCATTTCTAAGTATATTACTAAACGCAACACAGATGGTGACACATATTGAACTATAACAGCACGGGATATTATAAAGCAACTATCGATCAACAAGTTTTATAAAATAGGTAAGTTAACATCATTAAACGTCAAGAAAACAAACATTTTTTCCTGAAGCAAATTAGTTTTTTACAAATTTTTCAGAAAAATATCCTTCTAAAACTCTCGACTTGTATGACTCTTATCGCATCGGCATGTATATTTCTGTATATTTGTTTTGAACTTGAAAGCATGAATATCATGTGAATGTCTAGTTTGATATCGATGAATGTCAACATTTAACGTAAAATAGTTTTCAAAAATATTGCGGTGTATTGTTGTACCAGCAATGAACAGCAATATTTCAATTTACTGACAAATCGTTTGTGTACATGTACAACAAACGCTTATCAAATGCTGAGACCTACTCTCTGTACTTTCAAATGTAGACTGATTTACACTTTTGCAAAACGTACATTATATGTCAAATTGACTTTTTATCAGTTTAAACGTATTCAAGTGTTGTTGGTTATAAATTCAAGCTGTATATTCGAAGTGTGCCAAATGCATGGATTAGATAAACCCTCGTTGACGATAGCATTGTCCTGATAACTAGCTGATATATTTTAACATCGATGACATGGGATGTTATTTAAGATTTAAATTCAACATTACGATCCAAACACAATCGACGATTGTCTTCCAATAACGAAAGAATGCTGGGTTGATAACAAGATCGTACCTGAAACAATTGATCCAGTGATCGATAATGGCTTCAAGCTCATCGGATATATTGCTACAAAACTGCAGACCAGGATGGCCTGGTGGAGTTTGCATATTTGCAAACATTTGTGGATTTATCAGCAACGGGATATGGTTTACGGTTCTTGTTCCTCAGCTGTGGAAGAACTTCCGCCGGAAGTCGGTGATTGGGCTCAGTGTATTATGGGCGACTGCAAATTTTACTGCATCGCTAAATAATCTGTTTTTCGTTTTCAAGCTTGGGGCATTGCCATTATACGTGAAAATAGAGGCGGTATATATGCCAATTTTAGAATTAACGATGTTGATGCAATTTATGAGATATGGTGTCCATCCGCTGAGGAATAAACTCCTTTATTTGTGCGCATGCGCCCTTACATGGTCTATTATCATAGCGATCCAGCTAGCTGCAAATGTCTACCAAGAAATGCAGTGGATTTCTGTGACATTGTGGTGCATTGAAACGTTTCCACAGGTATATATGATTTTATTATTTCCAAGTCTTGATCTCAATTATCATTGTGAAAACAATATTATATATACAAGTTATAATTTAAAGTCAGTTAAGGTTAAATACGATAGCTATAGTTGCAGGTACGGAAGCAACCTACAGTAAGTGTATTATACTTGATGTACAGTAAATTTCTACTATTTCGCAAGAGAGTGTGATCAAATATGTACATGTATAGTATCTTAAAAATAACAATACTATGTTACAATTCAGATTTGAATCAAGCAAACAAAACAAGTACAACATTTGGGACTCAATTACAGCCCCTGCATTTTCAGGTGATGTTAAACATGAAGAGGCGATCAACAAGCGGTCAATCTACTTATTCAGTGTCATTATCAATGATAGGGAAAACAACGGACTTCTTATCCAACTACCTACTCGTTATGCCTCTTCAGAATATCATAATGATATATTTCTCAAGCTCCTTGGCTTACATCAACGGAATACAAGTCGCTTTGTACCCGCGAGAGTTGGGCTCAAACGAGACTTTATCACGTGACGAGTCCGACAAATCAGATGATGAACTGAGCCCTAATAACATTCATTTGATTACAATTCCTACACGTTTCAGCTGCTCATCAAAACATACAGAGTCTTTAAGATGGGTTGTTGCAGCGATATTGGTTGTGTTTTTAATTATGTGCGTGATAGGTTTAGTTTTAAACACGGGGACATTTATATCACTTCTAGCCCCGATTGGCATCGCTGTGGTTATCGGCACATATAGTGTCGTTTTACATGTTCAAGCTAGGAAGGGAGGTGAATAAGCGATCTCTTGCATCGGCCAAGTTGTTTAAGGGAAATAAAACTCATCAGTTGCGGAAAGTAAAATAAAATGATCTCAATTTTGTAATTAAGAAAGTTTGGACAAGATTGGAAAAAACGAAATCCGTCATTTTTATGTCACCACCATAAGTGTCATGATATATTTTTATGGTCTCAAACTTTTTGTGACGGCGGTTGGTGTTCGGCAATCGGCGGTTGACGTCTGTAACAATTGCAGATGATGATATTTGCATGTTAATGCCCCGTATATAACAGATATCACTGCATCAAATGTGGAATTTCTAGTAATTTCTAGACGTGCTTAGTCGGTCTAGGAACTCCGTGTATCTAGAGATTTCTAGGCGTGCTTAGACGTGCCTAGAGCTGGCGTGGACAGAGCGTGACTAGAGTCTAGAAATCTCTAAGCACGCCGTGGTTAGACACAAGACAAAATTAGTCGTTATTAAATTGCCATGTGAGATTTTGCGCTATATATGGAAACATTTAAATTATAATTTACCGCACGTGTTAATATTTCGTGTTTTGCTTTAGCTAAATACGGGATATCAAATCAAAAAGAGTATGTTTCCACTTTATATCCGACTTGAGTCACGAAAAGTACATCGCAACATGGCTTCTTAATTGTTAACTTGTTATAAATTAAGAGGGTCTGTTTAAATGGGTATTTCCACTAATCAACACCCATTATTTTGCATTGACGAGTACCAGGGCCGAATCCAGCATTTGCTAAGGGGATGACTTTTGAATTATTCCAGGGGTGAGGTCACATTTGATATTTGCTCAAAAATTACACGAAAACTGCTCAAAATGGTGAAAGAATTATTGGCCAGGGGATACAGTATTATTTTAAACTAGACATCTATATCGGCGAGGGGGGGGGGCTAACTTATTCCAGGGGTGGGGTCACATTTGATATTTGTTCAAAAATCACACGAAAACTGCTCAAAATGGGGAAAGAATAATTGGCCGGTGGATGCAGTATTATTTTAAACAATACATTACTGGGGAGGGGGCTAACATATAGTTGAAATTACAGAATACGCTACCTTAATTTTTGATGATCTATAAACATAATCTTGTCATAAACAACTACTGATTTATATATGTGAACGGATATTTGTAAATTTGGTTTAAAAAGAACCTGAATATAGGGTAAAAATGAGGAAGACACGGACGTCGGAAGAGTGGGGATAAAATCTAATGAACACTAAGCTGAGACAGAATGAGAATCATATGTCTGGACTCACAAGATTTTCATAAACATATTTGTTGATAGCTCACGAAAACAAAAACAAATTTCAGGGTTCATTGGCATCACACAATATTTGCAAAATGGGGGAGTGCATTTTCCCAGGATTTAAAACAATGCTTTACTTTAAATGTCGCCCCTCATACTAGCATACGCTTTAACTATCAGATTCAGTAGCACCCTGCCCTTGATATATTAATACATAGTTTTCTTGTACCCCTTTTCAAAAATACAACGAACTAAATACATAGTAATAATGATCTTGGAATTGATTTCTTTGATCTGTAATCTAGATCACACAATAACTAATTAACTGTTTGATTGCGTTTTTGCTTCTTCAAAGACGGGATATCCCAAAATTACCTTGATTACAGCATTACGCTTTCAAGAGAGTCCATGATTGCAGTCTACATGGTCTATGGGCTATTTTTAATTCCTCGTTATTTTAGTTGTGTATCTTTGAATCTGATTATCATATACAATTAACTTTAACCAATTTTACCCGTTTCTTGAACTTCAAAACTGTCACATACATATTGGTGGTCCCTAATCATATTAGGACCAAAAACAAATAACATAATTAAAACTGGAAAACATACAATACATATTCATCATCTCATCTATTTCTCCGGTTTGTATCTCCCGGTAATCTTTATGCCTTGAGCCACCCCCCCCCCTCCTTGCAGATACTTTAAATACACTTATTTTGACGCTACTTTTGACGAATTTGCTCAATTTCAAATATTGGCGGCTATTTAATTTGGCGGAATCAGGACTGAAGTTTAATTTTTGTCTAATATGTTTATGCATGGGCTATCAAAATATTCTCTTGAAAGCCCATGGTTTATGTCATTAGGACGGGTATTTACTAAGATATTTTCTGTATTTCTTTTGGGATAATGTATGACATGTTGATGACAGGAAAAGGGGCCCCACAAGTTTAATTTCTGAAGTGCATTTGACAAAAATTCCAAACTGAAATTTGACGGATTTTAATTTGGCGGATTTTCTGACTCCGTCAATCCGTCTAATTAAAACGGGAGCCAAATTAAGTATCTTCAGCTATATCAATATTATTTTGTATCTATCTGACATTATAATTTCGAAGAGAGATTCTCCCGGGGACATTCGGGATTTCGAACATAATAAACTTAATTTGAAATTGAATCTGAAATTCTGTCAGAATGGAATACATGGACCTGGTTACATGGTTTATCTTATTTTAAATGGACAAATAAGATCGCAGGGGCAGGAAACTCCCCCGTAGTTGACATTTTGTTCATATAAAAGGCATTTGCATTAATCCTTTTGATAACTTTCTTTCGTGGTTGGTCCCTTGACCCGAAACATTCTGGCTACAACGATACAATTGAATTTAGAGAAAAAATTGTGACTAATTGAGGAAAATGTAAATATACAATTTACAATTCAATACATAATTTGCACGATCGAGTCTTAGGTTTGAATTTATTAAAATGTCGTAAGCTAAGTGTAAAATTTTTGAAAAAAGCCTATCAAAAGACGAATTGTTTTTTGAATACTTTGCGAGGAAATCAATATTGATGTACCGTATTGAAGTCATAAACAACAGCTTCGAGATGTCAGCCCGAAGACTATCTCCCGGTTGCCATGTTTATCTAGGAAACTGCTGGTTGTAATCATAATAGGACACACGGCAAAAAATGTGTATCAAAATCCGTCGAAACCTGCTTACAGGTAATACATTTGTATTATCAAAAATACAATCTTGTTCCGACCATCGTGAATCCTGAACATTTCAAAAAGGGCATATTTTGTATTCACCTTCACGGGTAGTATCTAAAGCCCCGCTATGATTTAGAAGTCGCGAGCAAATACCCGCTGAAATCGCGAGCAATTAAAAGAAAAGAAGGGTTATCTTTTGTTTACTTAAATTGTATGTTATAAAAAGCGTTTTCATTTAATTTTACTCAATTATTACATGGTATTAATACTAAAAAGCAACTTCTGCAAAAAAGGATCACGAGCTGATGTTCTGAGTTTTGTTATTCGATAATTGGAGAGAGAATGTATCATCTTGAATCTTTATCTATATATTTCTATATTTTATAGCTGAAGAAGGTCATTGCCCTTCAGTTGAAATGGTCATAGTGATATGAAATGAAGGTATTGTAAGTTTCACTTCCTAAAGTTTCACCAAAAATTATATATTTCAATTTTAGCATATCCCTTGAGGCCCCGCTTCTACCATGAGCAATAAACTAAAGATCCCGCTGAAAACATGAGGAGGCCCCGCTGAAAACATGAGGAGGTCCCGCTGAAATCAGGAGCAAGTGGCTCTCTAAAATGGAGTGAAGACCGATTTGACTTTGCAAATCTGCCACGACTGTAGCCAACGTAATAAATATATTAATTATTGATACTCTACAGAGCATATATATATCATATATCATTGTCATTGTTATTATCGGTTCGAGCAACCCCCCCCCCCTTACCAAAAGCTGGCTACGAGCATGATTCCAATAAAACCATTTCACTTAATGTATTTCGACCTGACTCCATCGAGAAATTTACCAAGAGAAGATTTAAATCCATTCCACGACTTTTGACAAGTTTCAAATAACTCGTTTTTCTTTGTATGCAATATATATTTATATTTCACTGAAGTAACATTATACTGTAGTTCAGTATATTACTACCTTAGAGGTTTCAGCACCAATGGCGCACACGTTTGAAAAGGCAATTTATGGATCAACTGCTAGATGTAAGTAACAAAGGAGTACATCATCCGATTATGAGTCCGAAATAATGATAATCAAATTATTTCATCATTAACAATTAATCGTAGGTTATGTTAAACGCACGTGTTACGCGGAAAACATGATGCAAATATGTGTCATATTCTGCAATAACTATGGCATATTCACTTGCGGTGTATGACAGATTCAGCTGCAGTGTATTGCATACCCACTAAGCAATGAGAACACGATACAGAAGTACGCAATTGTCAATTGCATTGATTGAACAAATGGGTAATCATTGTGTCATTTTCACCTGCGGTATATGACATATTCGGCAAGTGAGTATGACATATTCTGCAGGTGACTATCAGGTATTCACTGAAATCAATGTATCGCATATTCACAGCGGAATATCGCATACTCACCTGCGGAATATGCCATAAACTGCAGGTGAGTATGGCATATACTGTATACCCGTATCACAAATACCACGCAAACATAAATGTATGCCATACTCCACGTAACATCGTATGTGTTACGCGGAATATGGCATATATTCACGGTTGCGTGGTATTTGTGATACGGGTGTATATGCAATATTCATCTGTAGTATATGGCGTATTCCGCAGGTGAGTATGGCATATTCCGTATTGAATATGTGATACATTTATTTCGGTAAATACCCCATGCTCGCAGAATATGTCATACTCACTTGCAGAATATGCCTTACACCGCAGGTGAGTATGCCATATACCGCAGGTGAATCTGTCATACTCCACAAGTGAATATGCCATATTCGAACATGACTGTATTCACGCCTTCTGTAAACTGTAAACAAAGTCAACATTTCACACGGGGTATATTCGCGAACAAAACCCCTGGTAATACGTGTAATGTGTGACGTCATAACGGCGGGCCGTAGTAATGGCGGACCATAATGAATATTCGAAACATTTTGGTGAGTTTTCATGTTCGAATCGTAATATCGACCTCAGAGCAGGGATAATATCGTCGAATACATCCCTTAGGGCTGGGCACAAAAGCTTTCAAACCCCTCACTCCCTTCGGTCGTTTGGTGTACAGAAAACTTTTGTGCCTAGCCCTGCGGGGTGTATTCGACGATATAACCCCTGCTCTTTGGTCTATATTTCTTAATTCATTGTGGAATATGACATATATTTGTATCGTGTTTACCGCGTAACAATATGTCCAGGAAAATGGCTTATGCAGGACATACGATTTATATGTCCCGGATCCTCGTTTGAGCGGGACATACGAAAAATATTTGCCCG